GAGTCCTTTTTAGGATGACCGAGTATGCGGGAATAAACTGCATTTCAGAAAAATTTATACTTTTGTCAACCGTTTAGGGTAATTTATAATCAGAGAGGTTTATTTTATTTTGCGGTGTATAAAATCATTATTTGATTTTATTTATATATTTTACTTTATTCTGCTATTATATTATCATCATCATTATTACTGTTCTCACCACCTTCCGTCTGACGGAGTATCCATGCAGTATTGTCTATTCACATTACTCTAATATTGTTTATAAAGTAAAAAACTTTACTACGATTAGTATTGAAATCTGGTTCTCCATTACAGAAATTTGGGCTATCCATTTGATACTTGGGTATAGCTCAATAAGATATCGTATTTGTATAAAGTTTGCTTCAAGTGACAAAACTATCCATTTGTGGAAAAACTGCAGTTTTCCATTTACAAAAACTTAGGTAATCCACTATCATACTTGAGTGATTGACACGATAAGGGATCGAAATTCTATTAGAGATTTGTTTTAATGGATAATCTACCCATTTATTGAAAACTGTAACTTTCCAACCCATTTGTTGAAAAACTATAATTTTCCAATAAAAAAATTTAGGTAATCCATTATGATATTTAAGAAATAGACATGATAAGAGATGGCATTTTTATTAAGGATTTGCTTCAATATATGAAAAAACTGTCCATTTGTTGAAAACTGCAATTTTCCAACCCATTTATTGAAAAACTATAATTTTCCACTAAAAAAATTTAGGTAATCCGTTATGATATTTAAAAATAGACATGAGATGATAAGAGATGGCATTTATATTAAGGATTTGCTTCAATATATGAAAAACTTGCCCATTTGTTGAAAACTGTAGTTCTCCATTTACAAAAGATTGACATGATAAGAAGTATATTAAAGATTTGATGCAAAATATGAACAAATTATCCATAACTGTATTTCTCCATTTAAAGAAAATTGTGTACTACGATATGATAATTAAATAATTGACACGATAAAAGATTTCTATTGCACTTAGCTTCAGTAGATAAAGTGTAGAGCTATCTATTATGATACTTGATTGATTGACACAATAAAAAATGTTATTTCTATTACATACTTGCTTTAAGGGATAAACTATCCATTTATTGAAAACTGAAGTTTTCCGTTTACAGAAACTTGAATTATCCATTGCGATAAATGGGCGACAAAGTTGTTTTACAGATCACATTTTTATTAAAAAGATGCACCCAAAGAGTACTAATTATTGTTGATTATAATAAGGTCAAGGTTTCATTTATGTGAGAGTGAAATTATTTGAAGGAGACACGAAAACATACATAAGAACAAACATAAGAATTCATTATGAGATTCTAGAAAGAAACTGATTGGAAAACTAATTTTGCAACAATAAAAAAACAACACTTTTCTATTTCTATTGTCTCATCGAGTCATTGGGCGTAGTACTAAACAGCAAACACAACCATGCATTTTCAACATTACTAAAACCGTTCAGCAGACGAGGCGTTTTGTCATTTGAAAAAAAATTGCATGTCTAAGGAATATCTTCGTGCCCTCGTTATTATAATTGTAATATATTTGAGCTATTAGCTGAAATCGGTTTACCAGGTTCGGTATGGACAGTTAATTCCTTCTAATTGAAACAACCTTCGAATTAATGCCGCCAAAAAGAACTATACGCCTTAGCTAATAAGGGGATTTCTTTTATTTCGAAACTCTAAAACTAAAACCAGACTTGACGAACAGGAAGGTTTGAAAATATGAATTTTCCGATATTTTCGCATAAGATGCGGCAGTTTTGAAAATAATATCCGGGTTCGAGTAGGAAGATTCTAAGTACGGACAGATGGGCGCCTTGGCATTTCATGGGCGTTGGCAATCAAAAAAATAAAGTAAAAAATAAAATAATAAGACAAAAGACGTCTTTTGGATATCATTCAGCATGTCCCTCGCGCAAAAAGAAAACCAAAACCAGACTGCAACGCCCTTGCGATCCAGTAATGGAAACCGGTTTCATTAAAAAAATGTTTCATGGGTATGTTTTACAAGAAAAATTATAGAACTATTATCTAAATATTTATTTTTCTCAAAACAGCCCAAAATGTAGCATTATCAATCACTAAACTGGTTACGGTGAACTTCGTTTTAACAGAAAATTCGGTTTAACCTAGTGTGAATGGTTTCACTATTTAAATGAATTAACTACAATACTCTCCTGCGGTCAACATCATGACAGTTATAAACTGAAATTGTGCAATCCAACAACACAAACGACCAAGACATCGTTGAGAATCAATGAACCTTTGCGAAAACAATCACGACAACCTTATCTTGCCTGTGAATCCTTGAAAGCGGTAAGGTGTATGTTTTTATTGTGGGCAGATTTGCCGCAACATGCATGTGAGGTGAGAATCGTTGTTGCGCACACTCGACTAAACGCCATTGCAAGGATGTGATGAAGACTGTGACGCTTCATCGAGGATTGATTCGGAGCAAAGTGACCCGCTTCCGGAATGACAACCGCCGTCCATTCACGCTCAGGTGAACTCCATCGTTTGTTTTCAACGATAAAAAATAACAATAATAACAGTAAGAGCGTGTAAATAAAAAAAAATGAGGGAGTGCGGCTAAGAGTAAGGGAGCGAGTGAAAGGGACTTTGTCAAGGAGGTAAATTATCTGGGAGTAAAACAAAGAGTCAGCGACAGATTGTCAAGGTAAAAATGTTACAAGGGAAATATAGAGAGTGGTGGAAATAGATAAAGTTACCATCCTGATAGAGAGAGATTGTATGATTGAGTGAGAGATTGTGAAGATGAAAAATACTGTTTGTAGAAAAACCAGTGCGCAAGTGACTGAAATCTTAGGAGAAGGAAGATAGGACAAGATATAGAAAACGACAGACACATAGATAGATAGATAAATAAATAAATATACATAAAGAAAAAAGAAAAGAAGAGAAAGAAATATAGAAAAATACATAGATATAAAAATGAGAGGTAAATGAAGAGCAAGGAGAGATTAATAGATAAATATATTGAGTGATAATTAAATAGATAGATCGGATAGATAAATATAAAAACAGACCAATAGAAAGAGAAAGAGGAAGAAAAACAGACAGTCATAAAATTTAACTATAGAGAAAGTAAGGGAGGAAGAGTGACAGAGAGAAAGGCAAAATAGATAGTGTGAGAGTAGACGTCTACCCATAAAGACGGTTAGACAAAAACATAAAGAAAACTGAACGTTAACATAAAACTGAATGTTAGAAAAACGGAGAGAGTTTAAGAGACTAAAGTGGGAGATGGCGAGAGAGATAATCATAAAAACTCTCTCTTAGTTATAGATCAAAAAATGAAGAAGAGTGAGTGAGTTTGTGTGTGTGTGTGTTGTGTGGTGTGTGTGTGGTGTGGTGTGGTGTGGTGTGGTGTGGTGTGGTGTGGTGTGGTGTGGTGTGGTGTGGTGTGGTGTGGTGTGGTGTGGTGTGGTGTGGTGTGTGTGTGTGTGTGTGTGTGTGTGTGTGTGTGTGTGTGTGTGTGTGAGAGAGAGGGAGAAGGAAAGTGAGTGGAGATAGAGGATATATATGTACACTGAATAAAAGATGGATAAGAGAAACAAGGGAGAGAGAGGAAAGAGTAAAGAGACTAAGATAGAGAGTGNAGAGAGAGAGAGAGAGAGAGAGAGAGAGAGAGAGAGAGAGAGAGAGAGAGAGAGCCAGAATTCCAGAAATAAAGGATATTGTAAAAAAAGTATATTAGGGAGGGAGAGATTTTCAAGGAGATTATTATAGTGCGAGAGAGGATAAAAAAAAGAGAGAGCGAGAGAGATATAGCGCGATGAAAAGGAAAAATCAGACATCATCGCCGACTGTGACACAGCTTATAACATAAACTAGTTATGGCTACTAGTGGATATTCTATGATTCTCTATAGTAATGCAAAAAATAATCTTAACTCTTCGAACAATGTTAACGAGATGAAAGAAATCAAAATCTTTTGATGATTAAAGCCATGGATGTCCGAAAATTTCAGAACGGGCGAAATTCAGTTGTTGCCGTATGTTAATTTTCGGTTGAAATTTCTGTAACGATTTGTGTAAATTATTTTTAAAAAAACTTGTCACATCTCATTTGGGTTATATTTTATTACAATTGATATTTATCGTGGTGTTCTTGTGCCAGAAACACTTTTGAGACTTTCGGGCTTGCTTGCGGTTTTTAATCAATTGAGCAATCGCAGCTCTGTATTTCTAATTCGATTGTTTTTTTTTTCAATTTCTACCTGCCACAGAAACCCATAAAGTTCAGCAAATTGGAGAAAGGTCGATTTTTCACAGGAGAACGGACCAACGGCGGGGAAAGAAAACGCCGAGAAATTTTGTCCGGAACTGGAGAAATATTTGTTTTTATTGTGTTTGTAGTTGTTTTGTGTTTTCTGGAAATAAATTTTATATTGTTTTAACCATATAAAACCATTTAAATAAATTTTGTTATTGATGTTCAGCTTTTATTTTAACAACTTTTCATTACGTGAACTTTGAAATTTTACCCTTAGTGAGTATATTTTCGCTTGTAAGGCTGTGAAACAAATGAATGTTGTTTGATTGAAATGTTATATTATATTTTAATCTAAATAATCTTTAAAAAAGGGTCAATAAATTGACTTGTTTTTCTTTGTATTCTTTGTACCTTGGCCTCTTTGTTTTTGATTTTCGATGATCAAAATCGAAGGAGACGTTTTTCTGTTTGATTTATTTGTTGTTAACAATATTTCTATGTACAACTCGTTAAAATTAGGATTTGAAGTGCTTTTAATATTAATGTTGGTAAATTGCGAACGATCTTCAGGGGATTTAAATTCTCCCCTGGTTAAGACTTCCCTTGGTCGGAAAATTGTCCACAGTAGATCGTTTATTTTATGTTTTACATCTTATTTTGAGCCAAACCATTGATGATCGAAAGAAGAGAAAAAAATAATGAAAAAAGAGAAACATGCTTACATAGTACGAGCACGTGTAATAATGAAACGAGGGAGTGCATGGCTCCTGTCCGCTCAAGCGACCAACTCGACTGCAGCCGGTGCCACCCCACTTTCTCATTTTATATCCGCCCCTCCCCACCAGATATTCGCATTCTCTTCAAACACAATAAAACAACGCGAAAACTATTTATGTTTTTTCACCATTAGTCTTTGGTTTAATTAAGGACAGACATGGAACGGTTGGAGTTCTCGTGGTGAATGTACACCGAGGGGTATTATTTGGTGATGACTTACAGTTAGCAATTTTGCTCGTTTTCACGATTTGAGGTTAAAAGAGACATTTTCAGCATGCAATGTAACTCAAATAACAAATTACTAATTTTGATCCACTGCCAACGACGAGCATATTGTTAAAATTATGTTAAGGTATGGTGATTGTTCTCAGAATTTCAATGGATTTTAATGTTCTTCCCACGTCCAATGGAATCCAGAAAATGAAAATTATCCAGAAAATGTCAATAGTAAACCGTAATATTTCGATGAATGAGGATGTCAACTGTTTAGGTTTTTCCCGTACACGACACTTCTGCTGGCATAGTTTCACCTATTTTTTTATTATTTTTTATTTTTATTTTTTTAACGCGAGTTCGCAACAGCGGAAGTCGTATCAACCCTCGGGGAGCCGGTGTTTTTGAAAAAAAAAAAGCCCATTTGTAAATATGTCGGGTTCGAATGCAGGGCTGCTGTATTCGAACCCGGGACCTTCACCTTACAGTGATGAGCGCCGTGTCAACGCTTAAACCGTTGCGGCCACCGATGCCCCCCCCCCAGTTTGACCTATTCCTGCTAATATTGTTTTCGTTTTATTTGTCAAAAACAAAAGGAATTTTCTCAATTTCATAAATACTTCAATACAAATCATCAATAAAGGTCAATAAAGTTCGAGTTCATCAATAATTATATTATTGTTTCTTTGAGTGCCTGTATTTGAATTTGGATTTTTGACAATTTAATGTTTATTTATTTTAGTTTTTACGACGATGCTTGTTGCTTGTTTCCTTATTATTGTTGCCTGTTTAACTCCAAATATTTATTTATTTATTTATTTAGATTCTTGGTTATTTTTTGTTTGGTTTTTTTATTACAGTTTTACATGATATTGTTATATGTTTGTCTTTTTCTACGTTACGTCAATTTTTCTTGATACTCTTCTTCCCGCTTGTCTCTTTTCTTCTCGTTGTGTTATTTATTTAGTTTTTGTTGTTCGTGTCTCATTGTCTTTGATATTTTTTGACTCTTTCGTTCTTTTCTTGATCATTCGCTGCTTTTGCCGCGTCTTGTTGCAGTTAGGTTGATTTTTTGGGGTTTTGTTGTTTATTCTTTTATAGGAGGTTTTGTTCTTTGCTAGTTTTCTTGGTTCTTTTGTTGTTAATTATCTTTATGTTGCATTAGTCACTTGTTTATCTTCTCATTGTTATTATCTCATCTTCTTGGTTATTTCGTTGTTAATTTATCTTTTGATTGGTTTTAAATGCTCCTCCTTGCTGTTGTTTTAATTGAGTGTCATCACCTTTTTCATTTCCAAAATTATTTCTTTTAAATCGAATAGGTTTCGTGATCCGATTGACCAAATAAATTCTTTTCAATTAATTAATCTTTACGTAAGGTATTGGTTGAGATAAAATAGTCAGTGTCACGAGCGGGATGCGAACCCACGACCTTCGATAGCTCAAGTGGTAGAGCAGGCCGTATTTAGCCGGAGGTCGTGGGTTCGACTCCCGCTCGTGACAATGACTTTTTTTTCTCAACCAACATCTTACTTAAAGATTAATTATTTATTTTCTTGAATCTATTGCTAGTTTCATTCTTCTTTTAGCTGTATTTTGTGTTCTCTTTTTAACTTGAAGTCTGTTGACGCCCGTTTTTATAATTAACTTTTGAATTTTGCTTTAAATTGTTTGTTTTTCTACTTCCTCTAGTTTTCATTGTTGTTTGTTTTTCTTGTTGCTGCGTTACATCTTCTTTCTGGTCCCTGTTTCTGTTGTCTATGTATCTACTTATTACTTTTGTAGGTTGCGTCTTATTTTATTAATTGCATTATTCTTTATCTTATTGATGCTTTTGTTAGTATCCTTCTTTTAAAGATTTTATCCCATTTCTCAGCTTTTCTTTGAATGCATTTCTATCATTAGTTTTCTAGTTTTTGTGCTTCATCTTTTTTTTTGTGGAGCGTTCATTGCTTGTTGGCTAGTTGGTCATTTTGTTTCTGTTATTTTGGTTCTGAGTGCTTGTGTATGATTGAAGCTTTTTTCCCTCCTCGTTGATCATTTTAATTTTTTTTATCCACTTTTGGTTATTGACTAGCGCGTTTTTTGTTGTAATGTTTATAACATTTTGTGGCTTTATTTATACTGTTGTTGCATCAGATACGTGTACATTGTGCAATCTTGTTGATTTTAATGCTTGTTATTTATTTATGTGGTGCTATTATTGTTCATTTTTCTTTTCTTTTTCATTGTTATTTGTCTCTTCTTATTCATTTCTGATTTTATTACTTTTTTACCATCTCGAGGTGTTATCACATCTTGATTATTTTGGTGTTATTAATTTCTTTTATATTTGTCTTCCTTATTTGTTTTTATTTTTGGGATATTAGCCTTTTTGTTATTTTTATAAGCTCCTCTTTGTGCAGTTTCATTGAGTGTTATCAATTTTGTGCTTTTCATTATTATTTCTTTTCTTGTAAAAAGAATGAACTAGGAATTGCTATTTCTTCTTCTTTTAGCTTTTATTAAGTTTTTTTTTTTTTTTTTTTTTNATGTTATATTTCACCCTCACCCCTCGCCATTCACGCTAATAAATACATGCACTCAGACAAACATATAGACACACAACACATGAGACATACTATATACAATAAAAAACCCCAATTTCCCGTAAAAATCGGAACAGGGGACCCTGAAACCCGCTGCAGTGCTCGAGCACCTTCTTCAGATTGGATTTTTTGCTATTGTTGCTTATTAACATTATTTATGTTATTATTTGTACTTCATCTTGTGTTTTTTCTTCGTGTAGCTTTCATTGATGTTTTTTTTGTTGCCGGAGTTGAAGTTTATTTCTTTTCCCCTGTTTATATTGTTTACATGCCTACTTGTTGCTACTTCTATTTTGTGTTTATTGTTTTTTTTATTATGCTTCTTCCTTTTTCTATTGCTTTCTTTGTTATTATGCATTTGTGCATCATATCTTATTGCCTTTGATTATTAGGCATATTCATTGTTTGGTTGCTTGTACATTATCTTTTATTGTAACTTGGTTTTCTTCTCGCTGTTTATTTTATTATTTTTTTAATCTACTCGTAAATCTTTCTTTTTGTTATTTACGTTTCTTGTTGTTATTTTTATGCTTGCTTCTATTTTTTTAGCCTGTCTCATTTATTTGTATTTTTAATTCTCGTACGCATCCAACTCCTTATGAACGTCGTCATCCGGTTAGATTGATTAAAATTAATTTTAGAAGTTTTCAATACATTAAAAATGAAGAATCACAGAAACTCTAACTAAACACAACAGAAAAAATAAATCTGACCAGATATCAACCCTCATGGTGTTATTGAAAAGAAGCCCATTTGTAAATATGGCGGGTTTGAAAGCAGGGCCGCTGGATTCGAACCCGGGACCTTTACCTTGCAGTGATGAACGCCGTGTCAACGCCTAAACCGATGCGGCCACCGACGTCCCTATATTTCGTTATTAATTAGATATCAAGGGAAAATAATTATTAAATCATAGTCTATTTTTAATTTTGGTTTAGAATAATTTTAATATAACGTAGAGAAAATCATATTAATAAGTCATAAAAAAATAATTTTACTTTTATTACGGGGATTTCTTCCTTAATGTTTCCTGTTATTTTTAATTTTCTCGTTAAATTTTGATGCTAAATCAGCCTAAATACCAACTCCCCACCAAGCGATTATCCATTATTCTTATAAACTGTTTATCCTTCCTGTTCGTCCTTTGTCTAGTATTCACAGTTTTAAATTTAAGCCGATAAATGTTTACTATTTACCCACAAGCCATTAAAGTCAAACCGATCTATTAATATCCCGAACAATATAAACGGAACAGATAAACAAATAAAAACAATAGGAAATAACATTGAATGTAGCGAATGTGCAAACAAATGTTTTGTCCCGTTTTAACGTTGTAAAGAATGGAGAAAAGTAGTTTCAAGAAATTAACGAAACACGAAAAAGCCAGTAATGAATGACACATCACGGCAGTATAAATATTTCGGTTGATTAAATGAACATCTTCACAATAACACGTTAATTTAAGTTATCTTAATATCTAATAGAATTCTATTTCGTTCAAGGAGGCCAAAAAAAGCCAAAATTTACCCCTGTTTCCGGCCAATTCATATCTGTTCGAAGGATATTTTCAATTAGTTTTCTTTCCCACTTGGATCGATCGGGCTGATGAGAAAGCTTATTGTATGCGTGATCATTAGCATTGTTCGGAAACTTATAAAAAGATTTTTTTTTCCATCCAAGTACGTTCGGCTTCTGTAAGCATTTACGCGTGAACAAGTCCTGGGTCAAAGCCGGTAAGCATTAAAACCCGAGGAAAACAAATGTGCCAAGTGTGTTGAAAACAAAATACAATTGACACGACGTGAGCACAAATTATTTCTTAAATTACCAAATAGGATTATTTCTATTTTGTTGGTGTTTTGTTCAGTTTTACAGTGGTTGTAGGGTATATACAGGGTGTTCGGCTAGTCGTGTTACAACTTTTCCAGCAGAATGTACAATCAAAATGGAACCAAAAAGTCCTAATTAACTATGGTCCGAGTCTCAACAGTTTCGGAGTTATTCCTCTTTTTCTGATTTTTTCAGATTTCACGACCTTGCTTCAAAAAAACAAAACAAAAACAATGATAACTCCAAAACTAAAGGGTTTTGGACAAATCCGTCGATACCATAGAAAACTACCTTAAATTTCCAATAAGGTGTGATCAGTAGAAAACGTTATTGAAATAAGCGTTTTAGTAGCTAGAACATTGAAAAATAATTATTTGTTCCAAGTTGAAAAATTTACTGTGGTGATTCTAAAC